TTAATTAGTATTGAGGGCATACAGAGGAGTGATGGCAGTTATGGATAGGACTATGTAGACAAAATGTGGCAGGCATTAGACGGTTGAGCAACATATAAAACTATAATTAGTGACCCGACAAAAGGCCTTGAGGTTATACTTAGGGGCTTTTTTAAACAATATGAAAATAGCGGAGGACCAGAAGAGTCGAAAATGAACGTACTTCTCCAGCGAGATGCTACTCTCAGGTGCACATGGTTTTCCCAAAATTAATAAGGAAAGCGCCCCACTTTTGATAATTGCAAGCAGAAGTAAAGTGATGCATAAAACATCATGATTTATTTGCACTCAATTAAATCAAATCTCAGAAGCTTGTAATTTGTCGATGAGGAATTCTTGCGCGTTAATAAAAAATAGAAAGAGATTTAGAGGGAGTGCCTATACACACCAATATTCAGATAAACGGGGCAGGCTTTAGAATTAACCTTAAATGAATATCCCTCGATCATATCAGGAAAAAGTTAGGAAGAATCAATAATTAAATTAGTCAAATTGACCATGAATAGTACAACTTACCTACACAGGTAAGTTGTATGAGCAAAGGGCTTGGCTATAGGAACTTATTTATTTTAGCTACTAACTGCATTTCCCAATTATAAGTTCGTGCGTTTCAAGAAGCACTCTTAGTTCCAGTTATTAGGATATATAGACGATTACTTTGTTGTTTGGCAACATGGCAAAGATAGACTCGATGAATAACTTGAGCTAATGAATAGAATAGATGGCAATACTAACTTTACTATAGAGCCACAAAATGGTAATAAATTGCCTTTTATGGATGTATCAGTAAGCAAAGGTAAGAAGTTGGGTAAAGACGTATATAGGACACTCCACATAGGGTCAAAGTAGGAGCTATGAAATCGATGATAAAAAGAGGTCTGCGTCTAGCAGATCAACCAACTTTTCTTTTGAAATGGAAGATCATGTCAAAAATAGTGGACTTTTACAAATCATCGGAGTGTATCGCGAAGGCAAATGTTTAACAATAATAGTAATAATATTGGCGGCATAAAAACTTACAATTGTACTGGAAAGTGACAAATAAAAAATTTAGCCATGACCACGTTATGCCCCCAAGCATATCCTTCCACAGATGTGGTAAATGTGAGAATATCAAATGAGGGTGATCCTGCATCATGTCAAGAGGACTCACATCTTCAGGATAGTTGGCAGTTGTCTTGGGATAGGGTGGCCATGAAGATGGACAGATAATGCTGACATTAAGCTCGAGAAGGCAATTTGCACTAGACTGAGCAGCACGAAAGTTTTTGCTAAGTTGTCGGCTCAATTCTATGTCCTGAAACATGGTTTCCATCTTCCTGGTATAGTTGGGCCCACATTCTAAATTGATTAATAATATAATAAGTGATATGAACTATGCACCAAATTTCTAATAAATGGCAAAGCAGAGGCTATGAAGTATACAAATAGATGAGGATAAATGACAATAAATAATATCAAATTAAAAAAACTTAAAGGTTTTTTCACCTTGTTTTCGCAACTTGATCATATTGGTAGGAAGACTTAGAGGAACGCACCTGATCCGGAGTTCATTTTATGCATGATAATTTCCAGTCGGACCGTGGACGTGGTACATTACCAGATGTTTCGCCGGCATCATCGGTGAGTCTTGCCAGTCTTAGCACCACACTACAACACGTCAGAGACAATTGAAGCCGATCCTTTAACAAAACGTGCGCTAAACAGTTGTGGTGTCTGACATTCTGGCCTGGGTTATTCACATTTGCTATATACTCGTATCATGCCTTCACTGTTACAATTCTTTTCCTGCTTCTTTAAATGTAATGTGGTGTGCCCTTTTGAGCGGCTTTCATGAGAACCATCTACACTCCACGCTGGCGTTTTCACCCTCATTTACCCTTGTGCTTGAAATGTTGATCAGAGTCTGTCATATTGTTACACAGTCCTACTTCAATAGGTCTGGAGGACTGGCTGCTAGTTGGCTGAAAGTAGGCCTTTTCAACCATAGACGTGGTCCATGTAGCAAAGGCTTGATCATGAGACTTGCTCAGAGGCTTTCGCCTCGAATTAGTCACCAAGACTAAGGGGAGTGCGAATAACGCCTCGAGTAGCACAGATGAGGTGTGGCAGGGATCGAGTGAAATACGTGAACCAGAGAGAGAGAGCAGATGGATCTTACGGGGCAATAGAGAGGCTGTGATGAGGCCTAGGGAAGGATGACTGCGTAAAAATATGGCCGACTCTGATCAACATTCCCAGCACAATGGTGGAGGGAGTGAGAACGACAGCATGGAGTGTGGAGGGTTTTCATGAATGCTGCTCATAGGAGCACACCACACTACATCGAAATAATCATGGTAAAAATTGTAATAGTGGTGTAATAGGAGAATAAAGGAAATGTGAATAGCCCTGGTAAGAAGGGGAGATACAACTTTTTAGCACACGTTTGGTCAAATGATCGAGTTCACTTGTCTTTTTGACGAGTCGTGTGACGCTAGGAAAGGCGAGACTCACTGACGATGTCGACGAAACGTCTGCGAATGTACCACGTCCACGGTCCGACTTTGGAAATGATCATGCATACAATGGACTCTGGACTAGGTGCGTTCCTCTAAGTCTTGCTACCAATATGACCAAGTTGCGAAAACAAGGTCAAACAACCTGTATATAATGAAAGGAGACTGCGACTACACAAAAGGCCACACCATCTTCGTTTTCACATCTTCAATTTTTTAAAGATTAAATGACGGTAAGAATTAAGGACTGCTGCTGATAGTAGATATATGAATAAGAAACATGGAAGTTTTTGGTGTTTGCTCTCACATAACTTAATATCTTATCCCTTAGCCCATGTGTATACATTCTATATAATATCCAAATCTTAGACATCAATATTAGAAAAATAGACATTTCAGACAGAGATTAATATACATAGATGTAGTTTAGATTAGTTAC